ACAGCATGGGGTGGTGCTACCTTGGGTCTACAGTATGGTGTTTGGTTCGGTACGGATACGGGGGTTGTTACGAAATGGTTACGTCCTACGGTTTCCAACGCGCTTCAGGTTCAGTATGGGCCCGGTGATAGTTGTTTCACTACGGTGACTTATTTTCAGGCTTGGGACAACTGCGGTGATTTATTCTCACTACGGTTTAACGGGGTCACTACGACAGTTATTCCAGGTTTGGAACCCTGGCGGTAGTTTGTTTTCAGGTCCGGAAACATTGCGGCATTCTATATCAGGTTTGGGATAGGTACGGAATTATCATGGCATGGTTGTACGGGCTCGGCATCCTCGTGGCGCAGCAGCCCGGTACTAGATTTCAGGTCCGGTCAGGTTCGGTGGCATCGCGGTGTTTCGTTTCAGGTTCGGGGCCCTCACGGAGATTTATTTCAAGTTCGGAACCTCTGCAGTAACTCATTTTCAGGTCCGGGACCATTGCGGCGGTTTACTTCAGGATTGGTACTATTGCCGCGCCGCTGCGTCTTGCCATGTTCGACATGTTTCAGGAACGGTATTGGTTCRGCATTGGHGTGGTACACGCCACTGCATCGTTTTCAGGCACGGTCTTGTATCGGCATCGGCACGATATGGGTTACAGCATCTCCAAGCGATTACTTCAGGCTCTGCATTGGTGCGGTAACGATACAGTGTGCTGTACGGTGACAACACAGCCTGCTACAGMTTAGACTGGTAAATCCCTGGTTCGGGAACGGTATGGCGCACRCCACTGTGTTGTTTCCWGATTCGGTGATGGTATGGTACGGACGACCACGGTTCAGACTGGTAATTCCCTGGTTCGGGAATGGTATGATGCACGMTGCTGTGTTGTTTCTGGCTTGCCGCGGCTATCGAGCCTTCAGATAGGGCTAACTGGTGCTGGCCCTATCGCGAAATGACCCCTGGTCTAAGGGCCCTTACCACCACCACAGACGAAGTACTGGGTCCACTGCCCCGGGCCTGTTTTTTTTTTGCTTAGTCGGGGCCTGGAGACTCAGTCACCGTTTGGCCTCGAATAGAACCAGTGGTGTTGAGCCTACGAGGCGGACTCTACTTGGATATAGCTGGGGCGGCTGAGAAATGAAGGGGAGGAAAACGAAGAGCGAGCAAGGTGTACCCGCGACAGCAAGCACGGCGGTTATTCCGCCCGTGCGAGGGGTGTACGGGGACATGTTGTTGACAGGGGGAAGGGACTGAGTACCAGGCGAGCGCAGCGCGCTAGCACATGATCCGATTGAAGGAAGGGATGGAGGTGGCGAGGTGTGTGCAGTGACAGAGCGAGCTGAACTAAGGCATCCCGTGACTGCTCTTGAGGCGGTCATGGCCGACGTGAGAAAGCCCAACCGAGGTCCGACAGTTTCTGGGAGTGGTCAGTTACTGGCGTATATTCATACGGGGGTATGCGGAGAAGGCTGAGCCATCGAGGTTACTCCTTCGAAAGACTGAGAACTTCTATTGGAATTCTTCGCAGGAACTTGCTATGCAAGAACTTAAAGACGAATTTAAGGAAGGAGGACGCGTGTTGGGTGTGCCATTCTTTGACGATGAGACCGAGAGACCCTTCATAGTATCCACAGATGCTGGACCATGTTCAGTGGGTGGTTTGCTGTCTCAGAAGGACGCTGGAGGAAAGGAAAGACCGTTAAGATTTGAGAGTAGGACACTTAATACGG